TGAATTTTGTTTATTCTAGTCAACAAATAAAACTGGTTAATTCTCTTGATAGATATATTAGTTTGAAAACAATAAATGCAATGAGGCAAGCCCTAATAGAATCTTATCTTAATCAATAATTATATAAATTTTTTTTTTAGTGATAATGATGTTATATGCAAAAATTTTTATTCTTTATTTGTGTCACGTGCAACCAATTAAATGCTTTGTTTCTCTAAGTGCACGCTATCACTCATTCCCAAGGGGGTGCACTTAGAGGGGGTTGACTGTAATGAAATTTTAAATATTAGATCATCCTATCATTTATATTTTACATTGGATCATCCCATTGATCCAAACAAAAAATTATGTTTCACAAATTTTTGTTTCAACAATATATACCAAATTTTTTTTTATTCCAAGAAATTATTTTCATAACAATAAATCACATAGAAAAATATACAAGTATATAAAAATTAAAAGTGAAAAAAATTCCCTTATAAAGAAAGTAACTGTCAAACATTGACATTTAAAGATTAAAATTTTTTAATTTAATAAATATAAAAATATAATTATTTAGAAGAATTAAGATTAATTCTATTTAAATTAAGACTTTCCATATTTGTGATGTATATTTGCAGTGTTGTGCAATTGGAACATTGTAATGCTATTGGAATGTTCCAATGTAGATCTTCAATTGATATTGACCAATAAAATTCGTGCGTGTCACTGTAATTGAAATTTCATTGGTTAACTTCATTGGAACCACATTTGGAATGTTCCAATTCCAATTGGAATTTATTAGAATGCTCCAATGAAATTTTATTGGAAGCATAAATGGCACAATGTATATTTGTTTCACATTTGGAACAATGATTTCCATATTTGTTAGGTGTCTAATAAATTGACCCCAATGGTTATTGTTCATGTACAACATTGTGATATTTATTCCAGTGTTAACTATATTGATAAAGTTGTAATTTTGTGACAATAGATATTTGATTTGCATAGCTGCTCTCCTTTTCATTCATTCAACTTGATCACTGATATTTAATGTCTTAAAAAAATAGAAACAGATTTGTTAATATTTAATAAAATAAAATAATTAGTTTAATTATTAAATTTACATTCATGATGATTGAAATGGTATAACTTCTTTCTCGAGTTTTGTTGAAACCTCTTTTTTTTACAAAAAACCTCTAATTCTTTATATAAATTGTTTAAAGTGTACATATGATATAGTCTATGAATTTGTATCACCTTTTCCATGTTTATTGAAAACTTTTCATGATCCGACCATTGCTGAATCCTTTCTTTTAAACTCACTTCATTATCTATTTCAATGATTGGTGTATCAAGAGAGTTGATTGTATTTGAAGATATATTAGACATATAAGAAGATATAGAAATATTATTGCTATCAAATAGTTCTTGAAGCCTCATAGCAGCTATTTCAGTTTTACTATTATGCTTGATTGTACCATTGTTATAAGAAATTGTATTGTCATTGGGTGTAATATCACAAATAACATTAGAAGCTGATTCTAATTTCATCTGCCAAATGTCTAAAATATTGAAAAAATTTTCCATCTGAGTGAAATTTTTTAAACTTGTTATCACATTAATACTTTCTTTTAACAAATTCTCTGAAACAAGTTTTAAAGTATCTGCATAACTGAACTTATTGTGGAAATCTTCGTTTAATTTTTGGAAAATTTGTTCAGGTTCACTATTATTTATTGAAAGATTGTGTTTAATTAAAAATTTGTTTAAGTCCTATAAAAGTAAAATTATGTAAATAAATAAATAAGTAAATGATAAAATATATTTAAAGCAAATAAATGAAAATTGCTTATAAGAAAATAAACCTTTATTGTTATTACCATATTATTATTATTATTATTTTTTTTTTTTTGATACACTGACAGCAGATTCCTATAAAGTAAAAGAATAAAAGTATTAAAAAATATTTTCAATAAAATATAATTCAGTGTAATTATAAAAATATTAATCAAAGAAAATAAAATTTTTTATTACCTTATTATTCTCAATAGTCTCATTATAATTAATTAAAGTATAGTCCTATAAATGAAATAAAATACAATGTACAAGTCATATAACACAATTACATGAATTAGACCCAATGCCCATCCTCT